CGGGGTCGGACCTGTACACACTGACTACTGAGTCCCCTCAGGTTGCTGCGACTGCGTCCGCGTCCGCGTCAGGTCAGCTGTCCGCCCCCTGCTCGTGTCGCTCTTTGGCACACGAGACTGTCCTCTGGCACCACCGCCTTGGCCACCCGTCTGTGCAGCGGCTTCGTGCCATGCACTCCAGGTACCTTGTCTCTGGCCTGCCCAGGGTCCTTCCTCCCCTCCCACCCTCGCCTGCTCCTACCTGTCTCCCCTGTGTCGAGGGACGGCAGCGCGCCGCTCCTCACTCCTCCTCGTTCCCCCCGACGACTGCTCCCTTGCAGACACTCCACATGGACGTGTGGGGCCCAGCCCGCGTCCGTGGTCAGGGTCAGGAGAGGTACTTCCTGATAGTTGTTGACGACTACTCGCGCTACACCTCGGTCTTCCCCTTGCGCACCAAGGGTGAGGTCCCTGATGTCTTGATCCCTTGGATCCGCAGAGCCCGTCTCCAGCTCAGCGAGCGTTTTCACTCGGACTTTCCTGTCCTGCGCTTGCACTCTGACAGAGGTGGTGAGTTCTCCTCCGACCTCTTGGCAGCCTACTGTGCTGAGCACGGCATTGAGCAGTCGTTCACGCTTCCGGCTTCTCCACAGCAGAATGGGGTTGCGGAGCGCCGCATTGGCCTGGTCATGGAGGTCGCCCGTACCTCCTTGATCCATGCGGCTGCCCCCCACTTTCTGTGGCCGTTTGCGGTCCGGTACGCTGCGCATCAGCTCAACCTCTGGCCCCGTGTCTCCTTGCCGGAGACCTCGCCCACGCTACTGTGGACGGGGGAGGTTGGCGATGCGTCGCGTTTCCGGGTCTGGGGGTCTCGAGCTTTTGTCCGCGATTCGTCTGCGGACAAGCTCTCCTCCCGTGCTGTTCCCTGCGTCTTCCTCGGCTTTGTCCCGGACGCGTCTGGTTGGCAGTTTTACCACGCCACCTCGCGCCGAGTCTTGCCCTCCCAGGACGTCACTTTTGACGAGTCCGTCCCCTACTACCGCCTCTTCCCCTACCGCACTGCCCCGCTCCCCCCCCCGCCTCTCTTCCTCTCGCCAGGTGCTGCTGTTGCAGACCCCCTCCCCCCTCAGGGTGCCGCTCCCTCAGGTGTGTCTCAGGTAGACCCGGTTGAGCCTGTTGAGGTAGCTGTCGACTCTCGTCCTGCTGGGGGTGCTGAGCCTGGGGGTGCTGAGCCTGGGGGTGTGGAGCCTGGGGGTGTGGAGCCTGGGGGTGTGGAGCCTGGGGGTGTGGAGCTTGAGGGTGCTGAGCTTGGGGGTGTGGAGCCTCGTGGTACTGAGCTGCGGAGTCCGGAGTCTGGGGGTTCTGCGTCTGGAGGTATGAGGTCTGGGAGTCCTGCACCTGGAGGAGCCCTCTCCTCGGAGCAGCTACGTGCGTGGTACTTAGAGTACTGCAGCCTCCGGAGAGGTACCGCTCGAGCCGGACGTACTACTGGGACTGGTGCTAGTACTTCTTCTCCCGTTCGGGAGCTCCCCTCCCGCGAGCGGATCCGTGAGTGGTACGAGCGGCGCTGCACTCTTCGGAGTGGCGTGCCTCGTGTTACGAACCCCGCTGCTGTTGGAGCTGCTGCTGGTGCTGAGGACCCGGGCGTTGGAGCTGCTGCTGGTGCTGAGGACCCGGGCGTTGGAGCTGCTGCTGGTGCTGAGGACCCGGGCGTTGGAGCCGCTGCTGGTGCTGAGGACCCGGGCGTTGGAGCTGCTGCTGGTGCTGAGGACCCGGGCGTTGGAGCCGCTGCTGGTGCTGAGGACCCGGGCGTTGGAGCTGCTGCTGGTGCTGAGGACCCAGGCGTTGGAGCTACTGCTGGTGCTGAGGACCCGGGCGTTGGAGCTACCGCTGGTGCTGAGGACGTGGGCGTTGGAGCTGCTGCTGGTGCTGCGGACCCTGGTGCGGGTGTCCCTGCTGGCTCTGGTGTCGCTGCTCGGTCTCAGCCGTACTTTGTTCCGCTCCTTCAGCAGGTTCTTGGTCAGCTTCCTCCTCCTTTTCCTCCTCCCTCCTTAGAGTGTCCTCAGCCGGTCCAGCTGCAGTCGGCGTTACCGTCTGCCTCCTCTCTCCTTGGTCCTGCTCCTTACACTGGTCCGACTGGAGGTCTTACTGAGCGGCGTGAGCCTGCGTCTCGTCCTGCGTCGCCTGAGTCTCGTCCTGGGTCGCCTGTCCGCACTGCTCTCTCTAGTCGTCGAGTCCAGCGTCAGCGTCTTCCTGCTGTCCCAGGCACTCACCGGATGGCGCTTCGTCCGTCCACTGCTCCACAGCGTGTCCCACTGCCGTCTCCTCCTGCTTCCTCTCTTCCTGTTCTTCCTGACCCTGGGTCAGACTCTCTTCGTGCTACCAGTCCTGCTGTCACGCGTCTCCTGGCCACTGTTGTCACTGACCCTTCCTTTGAGTCTGCTGCTGCGTCTGCCTTAGTTGCTGAGCTTGTCGACTTTGCTGCTCGCTGTCGTCTAGACTACGCTGCTAGCCTAGTTGCTGAGTCTGAGTCTGTCTGTCCTCCGTCCGTCGGGGGTGAGTGTGCTCTTGGCACTGACGTCCTTGAGGACAGGCAGGAGGAGTTCCAGTGCTTTGCTGCCGCTTTGCCCCATCTCGTGTCCATGCTTGTTGCCCCTGAGGGAGACCCGGATGCACCAGACATCCCGACCCCACGCTCTTACGCAGAGGCGATGGCCGGTCCCTACTCCTCTCAGTGGCAGTCAGCCATGGATACAGAGATGGCTTCCTGGAAGTCCACAGGCACTTACGTCGACGAGGTTCCCCCGCCTGGGGCGAACATCGTCAGTGGCATGTGGATTTTCAGGGTGAAGCGGCCGCCGGGTTCTCCGCCTGTCTTCAAGGCGCGTTACGTTGCACGAGGCTTCAGTCAGCGCGAGGGAGTTGACTTCTTCCAGACCTTCTCCCCGACCCCGAAGATGACCACTCTTCGGGTTCTGCTGCACGTCGCCGCTCAGCGTGACTACGAGCTCCACTCGCTTGACTTCAGCACTGCTTTCCTGCAGGGCAGCCTGCACGAGGAGATCTGGCTGCGCCGTCCACCTGGCTTCACTGGGTCGTTCCCTCCTGGTACCCAGTGGAGCCTCCGACGGCCAGTCTACGGTCTCCGCCAGGCGCCTCGTGAGTGGCACGACACACTGAGGACTACGCTTGCGGCTCTTGGGTTCGCGCCTTCTACTGCTGACCCGTCGCTGTTTCTACGCACCGACACCTCACTGCCGCCGTTCTACGTCCTTGTGTACGTCGACGACTTGGTCTTTGCTACTGCTGACACTGTGGCACTCGCCCACGTGAAGTCGGAACTGCAGAAGAGACACACGTGCACAGACCTGGGTGAACTGACAAGCTATCTTGGCTTGCGGATCACCCGGGACAGAGCACGCCGCACCATCACCTTGACTCAGTCACACATGGTGCAGCAGGTCCTTCAGCGCTTCCGCTTCACGTACTCCTCGCCTCAGCCCACTCCTCTGCCTACCGGTCACTCGCTCTCAGCTCTGCCTTCGGATGAGTCCGTAGAGCCGAGTGGCCCGTATCCAGAGCTTGTGGGTTGCCTCATGTACCTGATGACCTGCACTCGACCAGACCTTGCATACCCTCTCAGCATTCTTGCATGCTATGTCGCTCCCGGCCGTCACCGAAAGGAGCACATGGATGCAGCTAAGAGGGTGTTGCGCTACTTGTGCAGTACGTCGGGCATGGGGCTAGTGCTTGGAGGGCGAGTCCCAGTTGTTCTCACTGGGCACTCAGACGCTTCTTGGGCAGACGACCAGGCTACTCAGCGGTCGTCTCAGGGTTACTCCTTCAGTCTTGGCTCTGGTTCTGTTTCTTGGCGTTCTACTCGCTCTTCTTCTGTTCTCAGCTCCAGTTGTGAGGCTGAGATCTACGCCACAGCCATGGCGGCCCAGGAGCTACGCTGGCTCACCTACTTGCTGACCGACCTTGGAGAGCAGCCTCGTTCTCCTCCAGTGCTGTACGTCGACAACAAGGCAGCCATTGCCTTGTGTGAGGAGCACAGACTGGAGCACAGAACGAAGCACATTGCTCTGCGTTACTTCCTCGCTCGAGAGCTGCAGCAGCGTGGTCAGCTTCGCCTGCGTTACGTGGCCTCTGAGGCCAACACTGCTGATGTGTTCACCAAGGCGCTTCAGCCTTGTGACCATCAGCGCTTTTGCACTCTTCTAGGCCTTGTGCCTACTGGACCTCACTTGCTTACTTCTTGAGTCTGTTGTACTGTGATCTCTATATATAAACCTGCATGTGAACTGGTCTTGTGACCACTTGCTTGTGCTCGGAATTTGTGTGGTATCCTTGAGATCCACCCTGAGCTTGTTTTGCCTTGCTTTGCCTTGACTGGTCTTGTGACCCCTAGTTCTCTCCCACTTTGCCTATGGGGGTGTGTCAAACATTATATATGTTGTGTTAGTTTAGGCTACAGTGGGTTAGCCTATAGGGGGTACACAATTCTAGGGTTAGGTACTTGTACTCTTTTCATTGCTAGTTCATTCATTCCTGTTCAGTGATTCCAACAGCGGGTGTAGCGGTTTGTGTTACATGCGTGTTTTGATGTATTTCAATTCATACATATATATATATGTTCGCTATGTATGCATGTCTCATAGTGAATATTAGAATCATCTTGTGCCCAGCACAATTCGACTAAATTCCATAGAGCTTCCATTCTTCATTACTAGAGCACTTCCTAGCACGTTAACAGCCATATCTCGCTCAACATTAGGTGAATCATGTGTTCTATAACTATATCTCCGTATATGTGGATGCGCATCATGTGTCAGCACCTTCTCCCCATCGTCCCTTGCCCCCATCGCCTCTTTTCCAACAATCTTTACCATCCATCTGGTCTTACTTGATGCCCTAGCTGCCCTCTATTCTCTCCAAGTACTATATGCTAGCATGCATACAGTCAAGGCACATTCAACGGCCTACTAACTAGGAAGCCATGGAGCAAGATGAGGAAACTCCTACATGCGATCGGCCTGCAGGGCATTCAGAATGCCTGTCATCGTCTGCCACACCGAGTGGACCACCAGAATGGTTGCGACAATCGCGTCGGCTCTGGAACCTGCCCACAGGTACCTCCGCCGCACAGCCACATCCAGCTGCCCCACAGCCCCAACGCCTCCCCGCACGGGCGCGGCCAACACATGTTCCAGGAGGAGGGCAATCTGGTCAACCGCGTCAAGACAGTCATCTCGCAGGCCGTCAAGCAGGGACTCCGCAGGAACAGGTGAAAGAGATCCGTGCGCCAGCGTCTGCACCAGTAGCAGATCCGTGCACCAGTAACCGGGGCCGAGGGTGCCGGAAGAGACACCGCCGCCAGCGGTGCAACCGCCGGGAGAGCTGCGGGAAGGGGAGCTGTTGGTGACGGAGCCGCACGCCGCGAGTTGCCCTGACTCGCCGAGCCCGCCTGACCGTCACAAAACGCAGCGGACACAATCTGCTGCACGTCAGCAATTGTTGACGGCGCGTCCTGCCACCCGCCACGCCCGCGACCGCGACCTCCCCTCCAGCCGCCCCGGTGCGCATGCCAGTTCGCTTGCGGCTGCCGCCAGCGAGGGGAATCACGCCGGCGCCTAGACACCTCCCACTCATCTCGTCAGGTGGGCGAATGAGGCCGGGAGGGACGGCAATCAGGAGACTGAGATTGGCGCTGCTGCACAGCCGGAGGCTGAGCAGGCGCAGACGAATACGCCAAGGGGAACGGAGGGGCAGATGTCCCATCCGGCACACCAGGGGACACAGCAGCACGCGCCTCCGATACAGCCACGGCGGCCACGGGGGACGGCACCTGAACAGGCGCGGGAGGAGGTGCCTCACCAGACGCAGACGCCATCATAGCAGCGTCAACCTGCTCCGCAACAGGCGAGTGCAGCACCCCAGGGGGGGGCACATGCGAGGGAGCAACAACAGGGACAGGGGGAGGTGCCACGACGACCGCAGGCGCCAGAAAAGAGGCAGGCACGGGCGTCGAGCCCCCCACGCCAGACGTCGCTTGTGCAGAGCCGACTACCGTGGAGCACGATACGGGAGCAGGAGAACCAGCGGTAGACATCCCCGCCTCGAGTTCCACTGGTGTTGACAGAACCGGCGGGGCAAGAACAACAGACGCCACGCCAAAGGGACGCGACGAATACGGGAGCGGGGAATCGGCGCCAAGCGCCACAGGCATCGCGAGGCGGCTGAGAGCTGCAGGGAGAGGCCGTGGACAAGAGAACGGGCTGCGAGGCTGGTTTAAACGAAACGGAAGACAAAGAAGAGGAGGAGGCTCAAGACCCCACCTTTATCGGCCACGCATCTGCAGAGTCTTCCACGGAAGGAAGTGGCGGGGATGAAGCAGAAGCAGCACCAGACGTTGAGAGTCGGGTGCATTTTGGAACACCAAGTCGGGCTGCATCCGCATCAGCTGAAAATGGGGGGGAAACTTACCGTGAAGCACCCCTCATCACCACACCAACCACCCAACCCCGCCAATTTTCGCCCAAACAGCTGGCAAAGGATACCACTCACTTCGGCGAAATCCGAACCTGGGACCTGACACCCCTTCGCGACAGTCGCCAGCCTCCCCTCTCCCGTAAAATCCCTCACGCCAGTTTCGCAATGGTGCTACTGATACCCCTGATACACCTCGCACGTACCCCAGACTCGGTGGCGGGCTGGCGCCTGCTGCTCTTTATTCCCCGCCTAATCCTTCATCAGGCGAAACCAGAGAAGCTGGATTGGCTCGAAGTGAAGCTGCGACTTCGTCAGTTTTTCAAAGGCGAATGGAATCAGTTGTACGAAGCAGTCGTGGCAGCAATAAACACACTCCCCCCGCCACATCGCCAATCGGACGTTTGAAAGGGCAGCCTTCGACGGGCAATCCTAGCCCTTGAATCAACACCAGTGGCTGACTCAACGCCCGAAACACTGGACTCACTTAAGTCCAAACACCTACTTGCAACACCAAGCCACATCGACTGGACACCACCAGACCAAGCCCACGTGGCGACCATCACCAAAGCAGCCTTCGCGAAGATTTGGTGCCGCTGCGAAAACGGAGTTGGAGGAGGCCCGTCGGGAATGACGTTCGAACACCTCAGGGATGCAGCCATCGCCAACGCAGCTGTTACCACCCACCTCCACGCCCTCGTCTGCACCATTCTTCAAGGACCACTCCCGGACGAAGTGTGCTCCTTACTCACAGCCTCCCGCCTCATCGCCCTCGCAAAGCAAGAGGGGGGTACTCGCCCCATAGCAGTTGGAGAGTGCGTCCTACGCTTCGCGGCGAAATCGGCACTAGCATCCTTAGCAAAAGAAGCAAGGGCCCATTTCCTCCCCCTCCAGTATTGCGTTGCCGTCCAGGGAGGTAGCGAGGCGATCATCCACGCCGCTCGTTCGTGCATGAGCACGCACGGCGAGGCAATGATCCTGCAGGCAGATCTTTCTAACGCGTTCAATAGTATCAGTCGGGAGGCGATCGTAGAAGGCCTTCGGGGGACAACGCTGCAGGGGATCCTTCCCCTAGTTCGTACCTCCTACGGCGCGCCATCGGAAATCTTCCTCGACGTGGGTTTTAAGAGCCCACCTCTAATCAGCGAGACAGGGGACCGCCAAGGCGACCCTCTCAGCCCGCTCCTCTTTGTGGTAGGAGTTCACCCTGCCCTCTCCGCGACAGCAGCAACCTTCCCGTCCGTGCTCGGCCTCGCCTTCGCGGACGATGTGATGTTCTTGGGGAAGGCGGCAGAGTGCACGGCGGCGTTTATTCACTTCACGGGCAGCCTCCGCAGCGTGGGTCTAAGACATAACGCGGGGAAGTGCGCGGCGTAGAGCGCGGTACGACCGCCAGAAGGGAGTCTGCCAGCGGGGTTCCCTTTCTGCCGCGACGGTCTACGTGTGCTGGGCAGCTTCGTCGGCACGCCAGAAGGAGTAGTAGCTTTCATACGGGCGCAGCTACAGTCCATGACAACCCCACTCCTAGAGATTGCAAAGATGGACCCGCAATCAGCATCACTGCTGCTGACCAGGTGCATCTCGAGGCGGATGTCTTCCCTCGCGCGAACCACTCCACTCAGCCTCCTTCCCGAGGACGAATGGTCGCGGTGGGGACAGGCGCTGCTCCACACCCTACTCGATGCTTGCAGCGTACATCACCCAAGGGGGGAAGCCGAGGGACGACGCGTCTGGGACCAGGCCTCCCTCCCCAAAAGCCTGGGAGGCCTGGGGCTGGCGGACCCAGCTGTCGAGGGGCGCTACAGCTACTTGACAAGCTTCGCCCAGGCGCATGGACTTCTTGCAACTCTGCCAGGACCTGCTAGGGCACACCTCTCCGCCGCCCTGAACTGGACAGAGGAAGTGGGCCCGGACCCGAAAGAACTGCAATCCTGGCTCGCGGAGTGCAAGGCAAGCCTCTCTCAGGATGGGCGTGACCTACTGGCGGTAGAGATGGCCGCACCCAAGGGACAGCTGCAGCACCGCCTTGCCCTCCTAGTCCAGGGCAGACGGAGCGCCGCTCAAGTCGCAGCATCACGGCGAATGGAGCTAAGCCCCCTATACGGCCACACCCAGCGGCTCCTGTCCCTCACAGGCTACGGTGCTGGGGACTGGCTGATTGCCATCCCCTACATGGCTTCCCTCCGGTTCATCCCCGAGCACTTCTCGTTCGCCCTACAGTTCCGCCTAGGACTGCCTCTCCCTCTCCCTAGCCGCTGCGACTGCACAGACAGAGTCGCCATAATAGACAAGCGCCTCCCCAACCACCTCCTCCGTTGCGGCACAGGGCATGGGCAGACTTATACCCACAATGAGCCGCGGGACGAGTGCGTGCGGATGGCTCAAGACGCCGGGCTCATAGTACACAAGGAGAGCACGGCGTTTAGCCCGGTCGACAACAAAAAGGCTGACCTGGCTATACGGGACCGTAGCAGTGGAGCGGTGTGGCTGGGGGACATCACGATCATTGACCCGATCAGCAAAAGGGAAGAGACGGCCAGGAAGGGAAGGGGATGGGCAGCAAGGGAAGCAGCGGACAAGAAGATCGGACTATACCATGGCAGGGCAAAATTTGCAAGTTTTTACCCACTGGCAGTCAAGACTTATGGCTGCCCATGTGACGAGGTTCCAGCCTTCCTGAAGCACCTGGCAGACACAGCAGCACGCAAACACTTCAACGCGGACCCCTCAACCTATCAGGTCGCAAAGTTGCTGCACCAGTTTCGCCAGCGGTGTGCCGTTGCCCTGCAAAGGGCACCGGCCGTAAGCTTCCTTATCAAGCTGAACCTAGCAGCCCAGATGGAAAACCCCGCTATAGGAGGACCTGAGGGAGTCCTAGACCCGGGGCAGTGCTTTGCTACCCTAGAGCCGGGCAATGGGTATGAGTAGAAGACCAAGGGGGGGGGGGGAGGGGGTAGGGATGGGCGGGCCGGGGAGGGTTGGGAGAAGAATAGTCCGTTATCTTTTGCTATACCTGGTTGATTTCTTGCATGTTCTTTGCTGTTTCTCACTCTATATCAATACACGGACCATTCGAGAGAGAGAGAGAGAGAGAGAGAGAGAGAGAGAGAGAGAGAGAGAGAGAGAGAGAGAGAGAGAGAGAGATACTCGGACCATGCGAATCAGCTCTGCCCTCAGACGCACGCAAGATACTCGATAAGGAGAGGCTCTCTCCTCGGATATTAAGCTCCAGCACGCGCTAGCCCTTAAGGTTCAGGGTACCATATACGCCTTACAAGTCCAGGAAACGAGACGCATGAAGCTGAATCCGCTCTCCGGCCACACGCAGAGGATGTTCTCACTTACCGGATACGGCACAGGAGACTGGCTCACGGGAATCCCCGTAGCCACATCACGACGCATAGGCACAGTACACTTTGCCAATGCAGTACGGTTCCGGCTTGGCCTCCTGTTCTCAACACCGAAGAACTGTGACTGCACAGAACACACCGCTATCACTGACCTGCGCCTCCCAATCCATCTCTTCCGCTGTGGCACGGGTAAACATCGCATCAATACCCATAATGAGCTGCGAGACGCTTGCATCAGCATGGCGCAGGATGCGGGGTTCATTGTTCATAGTGAGTCCAACGTTTACTGCCCCATTGAGGAACTGACGGCAGATTTTACCATGACGGACAGAAGCGGCGGGGCGGTATGGGTGTGTGATGTGACAATCACAGACCCCATCGGTACTAGGGATCCGGAGGCACAGAAAGGCAGGGGATGGGCGGCACGAGAGCAAGCCGACAAGAAAATCAAACATTATGCCAACCGGCCAGAGACGGTGGGCTTCTTTCCACTAGTGGTAGAGACATACGGCTGCCCATGCGCCGAGGTTCCAATGTTCCTGAAGCTCCTAGCAGACACGGCGGCTCAGCGCTACTTCAACGCCGACTCTAAATCATTCCAAGCTGCTAAGTTTCTACACTAGTTCAGGCAAAGGTGGGCGGTTGCCCTACAGAGAGCCCAATCCGTGGGTTACTTGCTCAAGCTGGGCGAGGCAGCTGCTGCTGAGAACCCGCCTGTGGGGGGGATAGGGCAGGAGTTGTATCTAGGAGACTGTTTTACAGTTATAGAGCCTCTCCTTGAGCTCCAAGGAGAGCCTCTCATCCGAGAGCGGACCTTATCTCATCCGAGAGAGAGAGAGAGAGAGAGAGAGAGAGAGAGAGAGAGAGAGAGAGAGAGAGAGAGAGAGAGAGAGAGAGAGAGAGAGAGAGTGAGAGAGAGAGAGAGAGAGGGAGAGAGAGAGAGGGAGAGAGAGAGATGGGACGAATGACCATAACGGACCCGATAAGCACCAGGGACCCGGATGCAACCAAGGGAAGGGGATGGGCGGCAAGGGAGTAGGCGGATAAGAAAACCAGTCACTACGCCAACCGCCCTGACACAGTCGGCTTCTTCCCCCTGTCGGTTGAGACCTATGGGTGCCCATGTGCCGAGGTTCCTAAGTTCCTGAAGCTGCTGGCGGATTCGGCTGCTAGGCGACACTTCAACGCCCAACCACAATCCTTTCAAGCAGCCAAGTTCCTGCATCTCTTCAGGCAAAGGTGGTCAATCGCCCTTCAGAGGGCCCAGTCAGTGGGGTACTTGATCAAATCCAGTCAAGCTTGCGGCGAACGTCACCCGAAGGTTTGCTGACGGGTTTGGTAAGGGGGGTCACGGATTCAGTCACTAACAACAAGTAAGAAATCACGCGAATGGTCACACATGTAACTCCCGCCAAAAAATCTTGAAAATCAACAAAATTAGCGGTCTATAACAAAATCACATATTATCAACTTGACGGTGACCGCTTTTGTAACATTCTCGAAGAGGCGGTTCGTGGTCTGTCTTTCCGCGGCGCTTGTCGCAAATCGTCCGAGGGAATGATGGACCGCCCTGGTTTCCGGTTTCCGATTCCTTTCGGCAGTTGTTTTGACACCGCCTTGCTTGGCGCTCGAGCCTGATACCTTCGGTCAGTTATTTACGCTAGTGCCCCTTTCGAGTCCAGAGACTAATATTGTGCTTATTTATCGGGATAGCATAAATTGAATTGTCGCGTCAATTACGAGAAGCTCGGGACAAAAAAAAATATATACCCCTCATGGAGGGCATGCCATTTGGGAGGCATCAACCCTAAACACCATGAGGCAAGGTGTTTAGGGTTGATGCCTCCCAAATGGCCAGCCATCCGAGGGGTTTATTTTTTCCACTGGCCACTAAACTAAAACCAGGTAAACTTCAGAATTTTCCTGGTCACAGGAAATTAGAAATGTCGAAATCAGCTGCCCCAAGGAATCGGACGCGAGCGGAGAAGCAAGGCGGTGTCAAAGCCACTGCCCAAAGAAATCGGAAACTTGAAAACAGGGCGATTCGTCATTTCCTCCAAATCGTCCAGTACTCGAGCCGCCTCCCTTCATCCCTCGTGAATTCATCCGCGTTTGAAGTTACTGGAAGGAGAGCGCACAAGAGTACAAATGCTGGGAGATTTGCTTCTTCTCATCATTCGAATTCATCCACCCGCTCTAGACTTGTTCACAGAGTTTTCAACATTTTCACTCGACAAAATTAGCCCTCCGCTCCTACAATTTCTAGCACTTGTCACCATGGCTGCAAAGTTAGTCTGCACTTTCTCTCTGCTTGTCGTCGCGCTCCTGAGCCCGTCGTTGGCAGTTGACGCTGCTCGCCCGTACTGCCGTTTCGATGGGAAGCTGGTGGTGAGCAACCTGATGAGGGAATTGAAGGCGGCCAAAAACTACACCACCTTTCTCGACGGACTGAAAACAGCAGGTCAGATTCCACAGCATGCCAATCACATTGATTGTTCGTCGCTGGAATCTTACCCACCCTTATCCACATTTTCGTTCGCTAAATATCCTAGTAACCTCACGTCCGTTCACGTTGTTCGTCTGCCGTTATCCGCCAGAGCTGGACAAGGACCTGCTGGACCTGTTCAACTGCTACGAGGCGACCGTCTTCGCTCCCACCGACGTCGCGTTCGCGAACCTTTCGAGCGACGCCAAATCGGCGCTTCGTGAAAGGAAGGTGCTTCGGGAAGTGCTGCTGCTGCACGTCGTCAAGGGCAAGACCACAAGCGCCGCATTGATCGCGCAGAAGGAGGGGCAGCAGGTGAGAACAGGCCACTATAGAACGCGCGTGTCAACGATCGCTATTGAATTCGTCACCGCAGGGAAAATATTTTCGCGTCGGCTCCAATCCTACGCAATACCGTTTCACTTCAATCCCGGCATCTGATCAAGTAGTAATGGTACCCGCCTCTCCCTCACACCATCTCGCCCATTCCTGTGAATTCTCAACAGACCCGCGCATGTCGCGCGTGGCGAACGTGTCATCTGTCACTCAAACACGTGTACCTATATTTATTCAAATTACCCCCACCATCCCTTGTCCCTCCCAACAGTTCCTGTCTGCGGCTGATTCGTGCAAGGCGTATCTGGTGAAGGTCTCAGCTGCTGGGGTCAAGCCAGTTGAGCTCAAGGCTGCGGACGGTGCGGACGAAGCTTCCGTGGTGGCTCCCGACGTCATCTCGCTGCGAGTGGTGCAGGTGCATGGCGTGGATGACGTCATCCTGCCCAAGACTCTGAGCAAGGGCGACGATGACAGCCTCAAGCCCCGCAAGTGCACCGCCTGGGCCGCTTAGAGTTACACGCCACCAGATAAGGTGGTTACCAGCTCGGTAACCAGGCTAGGTCGTTACCAGGCTAGATGGTTACCGGGATATGTCCTTATTCGCTGATCACCTTGCTAGGTCGACATTAGAGAATGCACCATCTCGGTCGAAGACATTGTTCGCATGATGAAGTTGAAGCTGCTGTTGGGAAGGAAATGCTTGGTTACTCTATACACAAGAACTCATGGGAAAACAGATGTTTGCTTTCAATTCTATGTAATTTCCCGATTTTTCACCATCAAGCATGCGAACACTGAGAAGTATGCATGAACGTTTCGAAGTGATAAAAACCACCATACTTAAAACGACTGATACATACGTCTATACCCTCCTCAGTTCGCCAACCTCACCTGGGTGTAGCTCGACCGATCCCATGCTCCTCAGAAACTTGCTTTGACAGGTCCCGCAGGCGGTGGAACGGCGCGTGCGGTGTCGGGTGCTGCGCAATGATAAGCCTGCCCAGCCTTACCTGGGTACACTGGCAGTGAGGGAGGATGTTTGGCATGTATGCGGAAATGCCGCCAGAGTCGAAGCACAGCGAGTTCGAAGTACGAAGGACATGCTTTGCGAGCAAACTCGCTAAGATCGCGGATTATGGACAAGGACGCGACGCAGAGGTACGGAAAGAGGAAGGATGGGAACAGATATGGAGAAACTTGTGGACAGAAGGGAGAAATGCTGGGAAATGGCTCCTTGGGGAATTGAAGTACATGGTCCGCTCAAGGTAGGCTTCGTGCGAGCCGCTGGGATCACGAATGACCTTCCCTGCCCTCGCGGTTCGGGCATTTTCGTGGGTGTGTTGGACCGAGGGATCCAGCGTGAATCCAGACTTGCAATAACGCTTCTGGTAGTGTAGACGTGTACGTGAGGCGTGAAAGAAAACACAACACGATTGAAACTTTCCCTGGAATTTGATTAATAAGAAACAAGAGCTCCAGAATTTTATTTCAGAGCTGACAACGGCACTCACCACATGCATTGTACACCCATGTGTCACATACCACATTCCCGCTTCTAGCTGATTCAAGCTGCCGTACATCTAGTCCAGCTGATATGGTTACTGGTATATGTAACTTCCATTCCCCACCTGTCCACAGAGAGGACAAATGAGAACGGCCAGCAATCCATAAATGTAAAAAAGCCTCAGCATGTGTTGGCATTTCTTCTGCCTTACCTGCTATGGTGCTGCAGTGGCCAACACTGCCATAATCACTGTAACATACTTTTAGTAAAGCAACTGTAACCATGGCAGTCAAGTCAACTCCTAACGCAGTTCAGAAGCTGCTGCAGAAGGACGGGCCATACAAGCAACGCCAAGGGGATAGAAAATGAGAGGAGAGAAAACAAGAGCGAATGAATCCAAACAGAGCTGGCCAGAGCCAAGCACTTGCATGACAATCGGCACACACAGCACCACATGGCAGTGCACTCCATCCCAAAGAACACTAATCCACAACGGAACAAAAAAGTTGTAGCACCATCTGATTAGAAGTACGCCATGCCATCCCATGCCATCCCATGCCATCCCATCCCAAGCCATGCCCATAACCTTACAATACCATACCCATAACCTTACAATACCATACCCCTAACCTTACAATACCATACCCCTAACCTTACAATACCATACCCATAACCTTACAATACCATACCCCTAACCTTACAATACCATACCCCTAACCTTACAATACCATACCCCTAACCTTACAATACCATACCCCTAACCTTACAATACCATACCCCTAACCTTACAATACCATACCCCTAACCTTACAATACCATACCCCTACGATATCCATGCCCAATACATATAAACGGCCAAACCATTCCCACGCCCGACACCATACACTTGAACTGAACATCCATAACCATACCACAAGCCCATGCCAATGCTCCAACTGCTGACAACAACACATGCATGGGCATCAGAAGAAGCACATACTTATAAGTCTCCTCCATCCATCCATCCACCCACCCACCTGTCCTAATCACGCTTGCAGCTTCAGCGGTTTCTCCAGCACACACGTGAGCACAAAGTGATTCCCTTTCCGCTCCGAAGCACGCTGCTTCCTCCCCAGGCTCCAGTACCGCTTGCCATACCCAAACGCCTCCAAGGCTTGCACATACGCCTTCATGTCCTTGTCCGGCGCATAAAACATCTCTATCCACCACAGCCCGCCCGGTCTCACCACCCTGTCCCACTCGAACAGCATCGCTTCAAACTCAGCTAAGTGCGGGTACTTAACGCTATTAAGCGTGTGGATAAGGTCCAACGTGTTGTCGAAAAACGGAAGCGGAGCCGAGTGCGGGAGGTACAGCGGGACGAGACCACGCTGGGCTATTGTCTGCATGTACGGGACGGCCTTTTCGTCCTCCCGCACACCATCCGTGTTCATCCCTGTTGTCACTATCGTGATGTTGTGCAGAGCCATCACCGCAGCGAACCCCCCCGTACCGCCTCCCACATCTACCCCGATCCTCAGCGCTCCTGGAGGCTTCAGCTTGAGGAAAGCCTTGAGGGGAATTGTGCCGGACACGCTCTTATCCCACCAGTGCTGCTCTGACTCCACGTCAAAGCACCCCTTGCACGCCGCGCCCTCTTCCTTACTCACCTCCACGCACTCCTTATACGACCCGCACCGCATGCCCTCCCCCCACCGCACGTTCTCGTCTCTCAGCGCCTCCTTCGCAAAAACAGCCGCCGGGAAACCCAGATTGTACTCTTGAAAATCTGGGGGAGTGAGCGCGGTTGCCCGGCAGCGGCGGCGGGGGAGGTGCAGGCAGTTGCGGGCGAAGCGGAGGTGCTCAACGAAGCGCCAGTCGTCGGGGCAGGTGGCTCGCTTGGTGTAGTTGAGGTAGCGCCGCATCTCCCCTGTTGTTGCCATGCACAGCCCAAACCCAGGTGACCGGCTTGCTGCACTCCCCCCCCCTGCTGCTGCTGCTGCTGCTGCTGCTGCTGCTGCTGCTGCTGCTACCACCCCCGCTCCGGCTGCCTCGCCCCCACCTGCTCCTCCCCCCACCCCCCCTCCGCTGCCGCCTCGCACCTTCGCCAGCTCAGCGGCCAGCTGGGCTTTCTCCTTCTCCGATTGGGCGAGCGCTGACCTGGCGTCGTCGAGCTGGCGGTTGATCTCGGCCATCTTCTCCTTGATGGCAGAGAGCGGGCCCGTGGGGATGGACCCCGACAGCAGCTCCCAGTTCATGTGGGGGGGTTCAGACGAGGGGGTGGAGGAGGGAGAGGAGGGAGAGGAGGGAGGGGTGTTGGTACTGGTGCTGCTGTCACTACTGGCAGTGGTGCCGTTGCTTTTGGTGCAGTTGCTGCTGCTGCTGCTGCTGCTGTTGTCGCTGTTACTGGCTTTGCTGCTGTCGGTGTCGCTCCGCGCTGCCGAGCTGACTAGATCAGCGCGGCACTGCTGCAGAGCCGTCTTGCACGTCGCCACCTCCTGTGCTGCCGCTGCCACTGCCGCAGCCGCCGCTGCTGTTGCTGCTGCTGAGGACGCTGCGGATTCTGCTGCCACTGCTGGCGCTGCAACGGACCCTGCACTAGAAGACCCCGTGGTTGTTTCTGTGGATCCTGCTGCACCTACTGCTGTTGCGGCAACGGGTGTATCTGTCCCTGGATCAGCGGCCAGCAGAGCCGAGGCTTGCTCTTCCGCTGACGACGCCGCGCTTTCAGGCGGCCCATCCGCTGCTGACTCAGACGAGCCCTCCTCTGATGTCTCACCATCTGCGTCAGACAAGGAGGGAATGAAAGCAGCCATTGCGGCCGCGTCCGCTTCCCCCCCACCTCCCTCCTCTCCTCTCAGCATACCTCCGCCCATCTCCCCCGCTTGCGCCTTCCCTCCTCCTGCCAATCCTCCCCCGTCCCCTCGCCCCCCGTCATGCTCAACCCCCGTTGCAATCACGCCCCCCTGACCCTCCCTATAGCGAGCAATTTCCGCCTGAAGCACGCGCAGAGGCTCGCCCCTGTCCCCCTGCTGCCATCCCCCCAGCGCTCCCCCTCCCCCTTGCGGTCTCCCCCGGCGCGCCTCTTCTCGGAACCAGCGCAGCGTGTCGTGCGGGGACACTCTTGTCGGGTAGCGCCCCGACGCCACGGCGACGGCGACGGCGGGCGACGCGGCGGTGGGCGCGGCTGACGCATCGTCGTATGATTGGAGGAAGAGGTCGGAGAGGAGAATGCAGAGGCAGAGGAAAAGCGAGCCAACAAAGACGAGTCGCACGGGGCGATTGGAGAAGAAAGTCGCGGGGTTTACGGAGAGCGAGGAAATGAAGGAGGAGGGGACTAAGGGATGATGCTGCTGCTGCTGCTTGCCTCGCGATGTCATTGCGAGTCACGCTGCTGGTGAGTAACGCTGCTGGTGAGTAATGCCACCACAATTCGTCTCCAGGTTTCCTCTTCCGCTCACTTCTACCGTTTTGGAATATCACACGTGCCTGGCGTCCGTATGGTCTGCCTACAACCGCTCGCAATCACTCTCATGTTTTTCTTCCCTAGCGAATTCTACACTGACACAAGTCCACGCAATTTAACCTTTTTAGTCCATAATGGCAAAGCAGTGATCACTGTCTCCGCGCGACAGTCGATGCCTGGCAAATTGCATGTGGCGAGCGATCAGCGTCTTTGAAAGCCAGCAGGGAGTGCGGAGTGATTGGTCCTGTTCGGGAGCACCACAAGATGAGGATAAGGATGAGTACCGAGCCTAACAAACAAAACGACAACACACCACTTGCAAAATTGTACAGTGTCGACCGTTGGACAATCAGATTCGACAGCTGTACAAACTGACGTGTGCGGAAACTTGAAATGACAATTGTTGGTACCCCAAGTATTCGTGCTCCATTCTTCACGTGGACCCTGAATCGTGGAGATCAAACATGAGGTAAGCAACACTCATACATATATCACAGCAACCCTTATCCTCTATATCCTGCCGCATGCCATCACGCCGCCCCCCTCTCTGATACCGCACGCC